GGGCATTGGGTTTAAAATGGGGAATGGGTCTTTTTTTAAAATTTGGGTTAAACTGAGTCAATTTGGGGTTTTCCATCCAATTGAGGGGTAAATTTGGTGAAATTAGTAACGGGAGGGGTAAAAATAACTTCATTTTAACGGCGAGGGCGTAGTCAAACAATAAACCAAAGTTGAGGGGTATTTTTGACCCTTTTCCCTTATTTTAAACAAAAATAAAATATATTTTTTTTCATCAACTAATAAACTTCTATATTCTATTTAGAATTAGAATTAATGAATATATATATTTGTCTAAATTTGTTGCTTATCCGATTTAATTTTTTTTTTTTTTTAAATCTGTTAGCTAAAGGTTGCGTGACTAATCACTATTCGAAACAAGATTTTTCCTATCATCAATCAGTGAAAATTTATGCTATAGAACATAATTTTTTCACGAAAACATCACACTGAAAAAAATGCATAGTAGGAAACAGATTCTCATGAAATAGTGGAAAACTTCCTAATTTACACATACGAAAACATTACTATTTTTCTTTTCTCACTGATTCATTCAAAATATTTATTACTATTTTTTCTTTTCTCACCGGTTCAATCAAAATATTTTACCACTCATTTTTCTTTTAACAATTTAAAAAACACACATTTCTATATTTAATAACAATTTAAATATAAAATATATATTCATTTTACCCTTGATGAAATTATTTATACCTGCACATACATATATGATTTATTTTAGACCACAAATTTCAAAAGTTCTTTTTTAATTCTTAAACTTCGTGCCAAGTTAAACTACATCACATATATAAATTGGAACAAAAGAACTGCTATTTTTTTCCGATTAAGTCAAAATAACTTAAAATTCTAAATATGCCTCGAAAATAATTTACCTTATGCCATGTCCAGGGCCACAACCAATCTTTTGAATCCACATATTCATAGAACCAGTGCCAATAGATATACAATCATCTCCGGTCTGAATAATGCTATCTGTGATAGTAATATCTCTTGAATTCTCTATATGAATTCCATCAGTATTTGGACTTCCACTTGGAGATCTTATTCTTATTTTCTCAACTCTTACATGGCTACTATAATCAATTGCCATATTCATTATCTGACTATTTAATGATTTTAATCCACTTACCACTACATTATCACACCATAACAATGTAATTGACTGCATTCAAACAAAAAAAATACAATCAAGTAGTGATTGAAGATATTGCACAATATTATAATAACGTTGTTTGTTCAGATACTTTTTATTATACAAAACATATAGACTAAGGATGAATAATTGAAAGAGTCTAATTCTACAACTTTTCTGAAAAGCTTTATTACGTGTCTCACACAACTGATGATACTAGTTAATTATGCGAGACATTTTTTTTGTCTCATAAAAATGTGAACCCAATTCTTATATATACTTTTGAGTTTTTATATTTTGTGAGACTTAATTAAAGGCGCCTTACGCAACTAATGGCAGTTTATGTGAGACACAAAATAAAGTTTTTCAATATTACAAACAATTACGTATCATTATTAAAAAATTATTGTTTTCTCCTAAAAAATATTTTGTGACTATTTTCACTGATATTTTGATTGAATTGGTGAGAAAAGAGAAAAATAGTAATGTTTTCATATGAAAATTTTTGGAAGGCTCCAAGTATTTCAGTAGTAATTTGCTTCCTACCATGTGTTTCTTCAGTGAGCTGGTTTGTTCAAAGGGAAAAAGGACAAATATACCCTCAAACTATCGTAAATGGTATGCAGATACCCTCCGTCATACTTTTGGTATAGTGGTACCCCTGCCGTCCAAAAATTAGAGCATATATGCCCTTCACTCTAACAGATGATCTAAATAAGGACACGTGGCACAATCTTATTCGTCGATCCGATATTTAATAAATGTCGGGTCGGTGGATAAGATTATGACACGTGTATGTCTATTCGTGTAAAGGGTATATATGCTCTACTTTTTGGACGGCAGGGGCACCAATGTCCCTAAAGTATGACGGAGGGTATCTGCATACCATTTACGATAGTTCGGAAATATATTTGTCTTTTTTCCCTTGTTCAAAAATAAGTGAGAAAATCTTGTTTTATAGGACAAATCACTATTTTCGGTAGTAAACAATATATATATATATTATCATACACTAAATGAACTGATATTATAAAATTCTTTACATTAGTTAATATTCTATAGAAATTAAACTTTTGTTATATTAAGTTACATACTAAGTTGATTAAAAACATAATTACTTACCCTTGCTCCAGGAGGACAAGAATGTCCAGATCTTCTACATGACCAAAAATTATGTCCTTTAGCATCAATTGTTCCACCATAGATAGAAAGTCTACTAACTTTATAAAACAAAATCCAAAAATTAGAACCTCCAATGACATTATAATCAACCGGAGCAACAATTGTTCCGTCAATACGGAACTCAATTCTGCTCCGGCAAGGGCCAGTGAATGTCACTGGCCTTATAAGGTACGTTCCCTTAGGAACGTACACGTTGGATGGACTAGTTGAGCTGCATGCAGACATCCAAGCGCGAAGAAATGGCGCGGTTGAGTCTGTCTTTCCATCTCCTTTAGCTCCAAAATTAACCACATTGTAAGCTAAACAAGAAGGTATAAGCAATAAGAGTGAAATTGAAGAGAAAAAGAAAAATTGTAAAGATACAATTGATTTGAAGTTGGACATGTTGTTTTGGAGTAATGTGAGGAGTTTAAGGTTGTAATGAGCATGAAGATTAATTATGTGTACATTTATAAAGAATATATAATCCCTTCGTATCATATTATATATGTTGTACACGTTACTAAAAACAGTTGTCCCAAACTATTCGTCAATTTACAAAATCGAAATAAAATTAATTGTATTTCTTTTTTCATTTTATCTTTAAAATTCATTCTTTTTTTAAAATGTAAACAAGTTTGTAAACTCATATCAGTTTAACGTTCCTAAGTAATAATCGAGGCAGTCCGTTGATTTCCTCAAACCGACTAATCCTTTTCCAATATAGTTGAGTTTGTTGGTTTCGGATCGACTTTAGGCAAACAAAAAATCGAGATTGCTCATCGATTTTTAACATTTTTTAAACTAGTGTAAAATTCTAAAAAAGTTTCTTAAAAGGTAACTTAGTAAAACTATCCTACTTATTTATGGTTTTTAAAAGGCGTGTAAAGAAAAAAATGAACAATTAATATGAAACGAAGGAAATATTTCTTAATTCTTAGTTTGGATCTAATAGGAACAAAACAATAAAGGTAATGATTCAAATGTCAACCGTACGTTGCGTACTAATGTGAAATAATTAATTTCAAATTATTTCTTAGATGAATCCTTGGGAGATGTGTTGGTGTAACTAATTAATGTGACATAAAATATTTTTTCAAAATTAGAAGAAAACTCACGAGATTAAGATTAATGATTTATGTAAGATCCATGAAGAACGCCAAGAAATGCATTGGTTTGAGTAAAACATCAACATGTGAGTTGCCAATGCTTTAGTCATTAATTAGCTACATCTTTGAATAGAAGACATACTCCCTCGGTGGCGGAGCTAGGATTTTAATAAAGGGTTCAAAATCTGAAGAAGTAAATACACGAACTAATAAAAGAGGATTCGACATATACTATATATACATAAAAAATAATTTTAACCATGTATAAATAATAATATATTTTTCACCAAAGGAGGTTCAGATCGACCCCCCCCCCCCTCCGACAGTATGTTGGCTCCGCCCCTGTCTCTCAGTCTCAAATTATCTATTGTGATTTTAAATTATACCCTTCATCTCATATTAGATGATCACTTTTTATTTTACACTGTATTAAAGAAATCATAATTGTAAAGATAATTTTACTAATTTACCCTTTAAAAAACTTCTTGGGAATTTTACAAATAAATGTGAACACTCTAAAAAAAATTAATTGCAAGGGTAATATAAAAAAATAAATTAATTCTTTCTTGATTTAATAAGGTAGACAATTACTAATATGTAACAACTATTTTTAGTATAATGATCAATTAATATAGAACAGTGGGAATATCATAAATAATTTATTGTTTTAAAATTTCAAGACAAAATTAATTATTTTTTTCCACTTATCATTAATAGTACTTTCTCCGTTTTATATTAATTACTCCCTCCGTCCCATTTTATATGTCATCCCTTTCTATAAATAGTTGGTCCATAATACTTGTCATTTCATAAAATCAATGCATAAGTTACCATATTGTTCCTTTTTTACCCTTGTGAGTTATTAGCCTTGAAAATATACATTTGAGCAACTTAAAAACCTAAGTAAATGATTCATGTTTATTGGTTAAATTAATTAATCAAAATAAATCAATTCATATTCGTTGATTGAAAACTTGAGTTCCAAAAAAATTAAATAAGGGTAGAAGGGTAAAGTTACATCATTTCTTAATGCAAGTGCAAAGTAAAAATGTGACATATAAAATGAAACGGAGGGAGTATATCTACTTTCTCATTTTCATGTACCTTAAGAGATCATAAATAAGGATTTACTTAGTGGTAAAGACAATCTTGCTCACATTTTCAAAAAGGAATTTTAATTGTAAGAGTAAGAAAGAAAAAAATTAATTCTCTCTTAATTTTGTAAATTTACAAATAATCTGGGATAACTATTTTTAATAAGGTGAACAACTAATATTTTCTTGAGAGCGTGTAAATAAAAAGTACAACAAGTACTTTGAGACGAAGGAGTAATTCCTAAGCAATAAATAAATAAAAAAACTGAGTTGCGTGATTGGTATGAAAGGAAAATATATTCCTAGAAAATGTTTTATTAGAAAACAAATTGGTTTCTAGTTTATATTTTCATGTTTGGTTGGTGAGTGGAAAATATTTTCTAGAAAATATCTCTTATTTTTTTGCTAGAGAGTAGATTATTTTTTTTAGGAAAATAGCTTTTGACACGAAAACAATCTCGATAACATATTTGAGACCCAACCCGACACCCGAACTAGGATAGGACTTCGATGACAGATTTGATATTCAACTTGAAATCTGACCCCGACTCCCAATCTGAGACTCGACATTCGAACGGAGACTCAACTCTAACCTTGACACCTGAATTGGGACACAACCCTAATGATCGATCGACTTCAAGACTCGATCCAAGATCTAACTCTGACCTTCGATCCAAGACTTGATCTCGACACCCGAACTTGTACATAATCTCGATGATCAATTCAGAATTTGACCTCGACATCCAATTTGAGACATGACCCCAACTGGATCCGATCTTGACTCTGAAACCAACACCGACTTTCGATCCCGGTGATTGATTCAGGTCCCGATACTGATACTGGACTCAAGACCCATCTCCTAGACTTGACACCCAAATCGAGAAACGACAACATAACCTGACTTCTTAACTAGGACCCAACCTCGACAGAAGACCCGAGACTTGAATCGGGACCCGACCCTGAATCCCGATTCCATACCCAACTTCCAAACTAGGATCCAACCTTGATACTCGACGCCCGGTGTAGACGATCGATCTGGGACCCAAACATGTCCATTGACCTGGGATTTAACCTCAAGTCTTTACCCCAAATTTGATTCCAACCTCCGACTCAGGACTCCACCCCAACACTTGAATTGGGATCCGACCTCGATACTTGATTCAAAATCCGACCTCGAATCCTAATCCAGAGCCTGACACCCAAATCAAAATCTAATTTCTGACTGACCTGAAATTCGAGAGTTGAGTCTCGCATAGAGATCGGGAGTCAGGTCTCGAATCAAGAATTAAGAGTCGAGTCTTGATTAGTATCAGGAATCGATACCCGAGACTTGAGTTAGGGTGGAAAATTAAGGTGTGAGGTTGAAAAACAGTTTTGAAAAATGTTTTTCCTTACTTATTGTAGGTCAATGATTTTCTTTAAATTTGAGGGAAATAAGTTTATTTGGAAAATATTTTCTAAAACATTTAAGCCAACTATATATAAGAAAATTGAAAAACATTTTCTAAAAAATATTTTCCTTCATACCAAACACACTTTGAAGTTGTGTATGGGCGTTGATTTTTCTTTGTAAAAGGTAATTTTTCTTTTAAAAATAAAAATGATATTAGAAAATTGAGGTTGTAATTGATCATGAATATAAATTAGAGTTGTGTTTTTGACTTTTTCTTAGTAATTTAGAGTGAAATCACTTTTTTTTTTGTTGTTTTTCAAATTCTTGAAAATTCTGAAATTCAATTTGAAATTGAATTCCAGAATTTTATAGCCGTACAATCGAAGTTGAACTCCGAATAAAGTGAAAAAAGTTCATGGTACCGAAAGTGTTAGTTCTACGTTGATTGTTGTAGCCCGTGGCTTATACGTGTAATACTAATTAATAAATTATTTAACTTCTATGTATTTAAAAAAATATACATAAGTTTTACTATGTCTTGACAATGTACAAATATTTTATACCATTTAAGTTGACATAAAACTTGTTATATTTACTCAAATTATATTGTTAGTGTAATTTTTATTTATTTTTTTACAATTTTAAAGTATATAACTTAAATTATTATTTATTATAGACCTTATTTCTTTTCATTTTTGAATTGACACACCTATTAAGAAAACAATTATTGATATAGTGAGTTTACCATTTTATCCCTATTAATTATGAAGTAGGTGAATTAAAAATTTAAGGTTTTCAAGAAATTCTACATTTTTCAAAGTAATTAATTGAAGATTTAATAAGTAAAAAATATATGTCATTTCTGAAAAATAATTAGGGATAACTAAAAAGAAAAAATGGACAAGTAATTAGGGATAGAGAGAATAATTTTCTTGGTTCTTTTAAAAACTTATTTTCCTAGATTTGGATTTGGGTGGAAAATTAAGTTGGAAATGGGAAATATTCTTTTGATTGGTTTAACCGACGACAAAGGCGACACTTAAGCTTTATCTAATTAATTAATTAATTAATTATCATTTGGCATGTTATTCCACAATTAAATATTCAATAATAACATAGTAGCGCTGCCATCATGGATGACGTTCACCATCACAAACTATATTATTCCTTTTTTTTCCCCTACAATTTCAAATCTATGAAAAAAATATTTTTAAAAATATTTTTCAAGAAAATTATTTATAAAAGATTAAGAGAGAAATATTGAAAATATCTCTGAACTTAACGTGAATCGTTATTTTTATCTCCGAACTATTGACAGCCTTAAAAACACTCATATACTTGACTAACGAAAAATTTTAAGATGGCAGAGATCCAACCAACCATAATTGTGTGAGACCCCATTCAATTTTTGACACTTGGATTTGTGAGCCCATTTGTACTCTTTTACCTCCAACTCACCACCCCACCCAGTTCTCCTCATCCGTGCCCCTATTCTTTTTCCCTTTTCTTTACTTTTGTCTTTTTCACTTTTCTCCACAAAATGCAGTTCTTTAAAAATGGAAATGTGAAAGATGATAAAAATATATTCTTTCTTTTGGTAATTGAAAAAAAGTTAAAACTAAAAGACGATAAATGATATATTAAAGCATGCACTTATATACACAGAAAATAAATGAGGTTGATACAGTATAATAGAAGTTAATTTATTTTATTTGATTATTTTTTATTCACAAAGTTTCTGAGAATATTTAATCGTAACAAAATATTAATGAAAATACTAGAATTAGAGATGATTGATTCAGCAAAATTTAAGTAATTTTTAGGTATACGTACT